GCGTAGGCAAAGAGGAGCTAAAAATAATGGGCACCAAAAAAATGGGTACAAGAACGAAGAAACTCATGTAAAATTGACTGGTGAACAACTGAATTGTATGTTATGTTAATTATATCTCAATAAAACCATTTAAAACATATAGTCATTCTATGTTTATAAGGTAGAAACAGAATCTAGACTAGTCAAAAACCACCCAACTAAAGGAAACCTACTGCTAACTGAATCCATTCTGGCTAATAGCAACCTTGGAGGGCAGAGTGGAACTGGCCCTCTCCGCTATCCTCTGGGGTCATTAGACATCAGAGTTTGCCCTTTGGGTTCCCAAGGGTGTAAACCTTAGTAGAAAGCCTCTTTCTCCCAAAGAGAGGCTAGTAGAGTCAAAAGTGCTGACTTGCAGTTAACTTGGTAAGAAATATAGCAGGGCATTACTCTTTCTTTGATGAACCTACCACTAAAGATTAAAATGGGAAATACTAACAAAAATGGGAAATACTAAAATGATAACTACAGTTTCTAATTTAACATGCCCATTGTGTGAAATATTGTTCATTTTTTAAAGTAAACTCAATTGGCAACTCAACTTTTTCTTAACCACCGCTAGGTGTTAAACACCATTTAGGATATAAAAACATATTGTATAACAATTAACAAAACAGACAAGACCCAAACTCATGGCACCTAATGAGGAGATAAGTAAGCAAGCAACTACACAAGGTGATAAGAGTTACACAGAAAAGCAGCAGGATGCTCTGATAAGTAACAAGAAAGACTTTGTGAAATAGGTTAGGGAAGGCCTTCTGTGAGGAAGTGACCTTTAAATTGGAGCCTGGTGTGTACATACCAAAGAAACAGGTAGAAAAAGAGCACAATAAGATTCAGAGGGCTACTTTGTAACTATTCCTCAAAGTAAAGCAATGCCATTAGATACCAAAATGTAACTTAGGCCAAGTCCTTCCACTGAGGATAGTTTCAGGGCCATCCAATCAAGGTTGACTTGGTCACTCTAAAGGACTGGGTAGAATTGACACCAGATTACGTAACTAACTACCACAGAGGGTAACTCTTTATGAAAATAGAAAACATCATCTTTCCCCCTGGGAGCAGCTGATCGTTACAGGAAATGGCTTCCAATTAAAGAAAAACAAAACAAAACACGATTATATGCTAACCAGCTTTGGTGTTGAGATATCAGTTGTCAGGAGCGTGGGAAAAGCATTTGAAATTCCTCTGGCCTTTTGTTATTTGCCATGAAACCCTATGTGCACAAAATAGAGCTGTTTCATTGGGTTTTTAAGGAAAGCATTTCACCAGGACTGTCTTCCCAAGAGCATCTATGAATGGGCAGCTGTTCAGCTAGTAAGTAGTCTAGCACTTCACCATTCATGGATCAACTGGGCATCAATTCATTCAACAATAAACTTTCTGGCACAGTACCAAAGATCAGAATTTGTGCTGCAAAATATACGAGTGCACTTAAAAATTAAACAAGGTGAGGGATGAGCTGAGAAGCCCACCAGAGCAGGGCCTGATGAAGTAGAGTTTCAATGCCGCCAGGGTCACCCAGCGTGAACAGGTTTCAGAGGGCCTTCCAGGCTAAGAACAGACAACGAGGAAGGACTGGGTTCGTCACTTTGGAGGAAGATGCTACTGAAAACTTCCTGCTCGGGTTCAAAGCATTTTCAATACTGAAAGCCTACACAAAGGAACAGAGCATTGTGGAGACACTGCTGGCAGATGGCCCCTCGGTCCGAGGGTAACTGAAATGTGACTGAAGAGGAGCTGATTTCTTAGTCAACCATGGTTATGTAAATCAGGCAACATCTGTGGGAATGGAGCCTTCAATAGAAACAGGTGCTTCTAATGATTGGAACTTAGAATGTGCAAAGTATGAATTTAGGAAAACTGAAAGTGGTCAGAAATGAAAGGGAACGCATGAAGATCGATATCCTGGGCATTAATGAGCTGAAGTGGATTGGTGTCGAATCAGAAAATCCTGTGATTTACTCTGCCCGAAATAACATATCAAGAGGAACGGGATGGCATTCAATGTCAGAAAGGATCTTGCTTATTTAATCCATCATGAAGTACAATGTTATCTGGTATCTGGATATACAGTATCTGTCAACCTCCAGGAAATCCAATCAATACAACTACTATTCAAATGTATGCACCAGCCACAAAAGCCGTGAGGAGGAAACTGAAGAATTCTAGCAATTACGTCAGTCAGAAATCAATCAAATATGCAATGAACATGCAGTAACAGTTATTGCATCCAACTTGCATGCAAAAGTTGGAAATAAATAGGAAGGAACAGTAGTTGGAAGATATGGACTTGGTGATAGAAATGAAGCTGGTGATCGCATGACAGAATTATGGAAAACCAACAACTGTTCACAGCAAAAACCTTTTTTCAACAACACAAAAGGGGACCATAGACATAGGCTTCTCCAGATGGAATACGCAGAAATCAAACTGACTACATTTGTAGGAAGACAGAATGGAGAAGCTCAATATCAGCAGCTAAAACCAGACCAGGGGCTGACTGTGGAACAGACTGTCAATTGCTCCTGTAAGTTCAGGATAAAGCTGAAGACAATGAAAACAAGTCCACAGGGGCCAAAATACAACTGAGTCTACCCCACCTGAATGCTGAGGAATTTCTCTCTGAGGTGATAAAAAGTTGTCAAAGCAAATAGTAATGATAATTAAACAACACTGGGAACATAATTCCACTGAATCTTATACTTTAAAATCGTTAAAATGGAAAATTATTAACTATATATACTTCTTTGCTCCAATAAAATTGTTTTACAGTTAATGAGAATCTGGGCATGTTGGTGAGATACGGACACACAATGGTCGTTTAGGGGATACAAACAAATGGTTTGTATTTGACTACAAAACTAAAGGTTGATAGTCTGAACCCACCCAGCAGTTTCATGAAGAACCCAAACCTACTGCCACCAAGTTGATTCCAACCCATAGCAACTCTACACAGAGCTTTGGAGGCTGGAAACCTGTTCGGGAGCAGATCACCTGGTTTCTCCTGTGGTTGGTGGGTTTGAATGGCCCACCATGTGACTTGCAGTCCAGCCCTTACCCAACATCACCATGGTTCTTTGAAAGAAAGGCCTGGTGATTTCTTCTGCTAAGACAACTGTCAAGAGAGAGCTATGGAACAGCCCTACTCTGCAGCACACATAGAATCAACCAAACAACAACAAATTTTTATTCTGGGGAGGAGGGGATAGGCAATAAGAATACACATGTGGCTTAACTCTACCGGACAAATTATAAACCAGTGGTATAATGACAACACTGGTGTTAAAGCAGGCACCTCATAACTAACAATTTAGTTAACTGATTTCTCCCATGATAATGAACATCAAATTAGAAAATTAACTGAGCATGCTTGAGTTACTGATTCAAAAAATGAAGAGACAAATTAGAACTCAGTACACTTATATCCAATTCAAGGTTTTTGTGCTTGTCCCCACTAATTTAGAACACTCACTCCCCACGTATTCCCAAAGCCCTCCTCACTCTAATCAGGTATTTCAGTATTTCATAGAAAGCTTCTCTGATCTCTTCCTTCTCTATCCTTTACCCTCTCTTTTTTCTCATCATAATATTAACATTACACATTTACATGCTTATCAGCTGCCTAGCTCTCTGAAATGTCTGTCCAGTTCATCTCTTGTATCACCATACGTAGCACACACCCTGGGGAGTGCCTAAATATGTTTTGGATAAAGTGGTGAAGATGAAGTGTGACAAAATGTAGCAAGAACTATAAAATAAGAGTCCTGTAATATAGTGGCAGAAAAAAAAATCATCTTTGCCCCTATGACTAACATAGAACATCAAATAAATGTGGATACACTTATTGTCATGTCATGAAACAAAGTCAAAATAGACTTCAATTATTTACTATATATTTTAAGTCTTCGCTCGTTGCTGCACAATTTCTTCCCCACTTTCTGGTGCTTAAGGAAAAAGGAAACCAGGTAATTCAATTACCCAGAAAATTCCCTTAAGATGCACCTCAACTTCCCCCTCCTCCTCCCCATAAATATCTAGAGATGACATACTGTACCATTTTTTTAAAAAAGAAGCTCAGGTACAGAACAGCTTCACATATTATGCAGAAGGGGGATTTCTGCTGTGTGCGTGCTGGAATAGTTTTATATAAAGCCCAGCCCTCAGTCGTTTAATTAAAAACAAAGCTGTAGGGTATGGGTTCATCAAAAACCCCACAGCCGTCGAGCCAATTCAGACTCTGGCGACCCTATGCAAGGTTTTCGCAGCTGTAAATCCTGGAAGGAGCATGACAGCTTCAGGGCTGCAGTCTCCTCGGGCTGCGGGTCTGGTGAGTTTGAACCCCGACCTTGCAGTGCACAGTCCAATGCTTTAAAAAGAAAGCCTTCCCGAGATCCTCAAACCGGCTATTCTCTGCTAAAGGAAAGGGGAGACTGGTGCGGCTAGCCACCACCTCCCACCCTCCCCAGCGCCACCCTCGCAATGCCGGCCGCTCTGCCCCTGCTTCCCACCCCTTCAGCAGCACCCCAGATCAACGCAAAGGCGCCCTCGCCCGTTCCGTACCATCGGAGGCGCACAACGGCGTAACCTGACAGTCGTCCCCCGAGACGCGCGGTGACAGCCTGCTCCCGAGCCCTCAGAGTCCTTACCCACGGCACTCTCCTCCCTCCCTCTCCCGCAGCCGGTCAGCCGCGAAGCAGCTGCCCGCCGACGGGGTGCTGCAGCGCCTGGCAAACCCAGGGCAGCGTCACCGGCCTGAGAGACTGGAAGAGCACCGTGCGCCTCGCGGCAACCGCGATCGCGCATCCTCTCCGGCTGCACACGCACCACCGCCCACTCCGGGGCCCCTCGGGGACAGGGGCGGGGAGCGGCCTCGGGCCGCAGCGGCGGAGTCCCGGGTCCCCCGAGTCCCCCGGCCCCCCGGCCCGCGGCACGCGCTCCCGCCGCCCGGGCGCCCCTACCTTCGCTCTTGCCCAGGATCCGGCAGCACAGGTTCTGCAGCAGAACGTTCGGCGACTTCTGGTCCGGGGCCGCCATCCTCGGCCGGCGCTGGCGGTGCAGGTGGCCGGGGCCTGGGGAGGAGGCTGGCCGGCCCAGGTGGGCAGCCCCCGCTACTGCCCGCGGGCTGCACCCGCCTTCCCCAAGCCCGAGGGCGCCCCGGGATGCGGCCGCGCGCGGGGCCCCGCTCCCCGGCGGCCGCCGGCAGCCCCGTCCCCGACCCGCGCCCCGAGCGTCGGCGGCCGACCCTGACAGGCTCAAAAGACAGAAACCGCTGGTGGCAAGGACGCCATTTTAACAGAACCCGCCGAAACTGCCGGCCAGCCCCCACAATGCCTTTCTTCTTCCCACGCCTTCGGAGTTTCTAGTTGCAACGGCTTAAAAGTTCCCCCTCCCTCGCCCGTCCGTCCCCCCAGCAACACCACGCGCGCACAGAGGTTCCGGGAACAAATCGCTCCGAGCTGCTTTGCACACGCCGCTCAGTGCTGGTGCTTCCCGCTTAGCTCCGAGCGTCTTTCTAGGCATTTTCACACGTTACCCTGGAGTTTAGCGGATAGTGAATGCCTTGCTACGTAAGTGCTTGCGTTCCTGATAGTGACTGCATTTATAGTCCCTACTGTGGCGTTTTTAAAACCTCCTCAAATTGGTTTGGGTCACATTTTTAATGGAAATCTGTTGGCAGGAATACAAGGGTTTGTTTTGGTTTGGTTTGGTTGAGCATTTAATATCTGCTATTTTAGCAGCGTTGTGCTTACAATGGATGCTATTTATAAGTAGAACAGGTGGCTGCTCACGGGACATGGCTTTAGTGATACTGACTCATCAACCCCAAACTTCCAACTTCTTTACCCAGTTCCATAAAACTGTGATAGCACTGGAAAAATAAGCCAGTTGGATGAAGAGTGAAAGCAGAGAAAACTATCAAAAAGGAAAAAGATAAATCAGCAAGGCAAATACAATACAGCATTTAATTTAAATTCAATAAAGGAAGCCTACACTGGAAGTACCAAGTCCTGAAAACTGCCAAACCCACCTTGGGGGGAAAAAAATAGAACAAATGGCTCAAGCCACAAATCCACTGGTTAGGGATATGGAATCCTAACAGGGTCTGGGAAAGGAATGTACGATTCACACAGTTGGACAAGGTTGGGATACTTGTCATAAGTGGAAACAAAGTTTCTGTCCAGGAAAATTTGGGATAAAGATCAGATAAATCTGTATCTCGGGATGGCTTCAACAATAGCAGAAAGACAGGACCATTCAACCATCCAGTGAACTTCATAGGAGAGAAAGCAAAAGGATAGATCCAAAGGAGAACTCGAAGGCCACCCAAAAAAGAGAACGCTCCATGCTTCCTCCTTGGAATCAAGCATGCCACGGGATACCACAGTGTTCTTGTTCTTGGCCAAGAGAACGGGATTATTCCATGTCCTAGGTCATCCTCATCAGATGTGAAGCAGATCCGTTGTGATCCACAGGATGATCATGGACTGGTTTTCAGCAGTAACTTGCCATAGAGCCAGCTTTGCCTCGCAGTGACCCCATACGCAAGAACATGGGACCACGCTCCCTTGGGCTGGTTTTCAGAAGCAGATTGCCGGGAATTTCTTCCTCATCTGTTCAGCATCAAAACAACCCACAAGCTTCCACGGACAGACAAGGGGTGGCTGTGCTTGAGGTGCTTTGGCCAGGAATAAAACCTGGGTTCTCCACATAGGAGGCAAGAATTCTTCCACTGAACAACCACTGCCTTCCTCTTCCAATCTAAAGAATGGGGAGGAAATAATTATGCTACAAAGTCTCGCAACTGTAAAGAGGGCAGTAAGGGAGTTGTCCTAGAATTAGCAAATAGGACACAAGACCCAGAAGCCTTCTTTAAAGAGAGACAAAGAAAGGCAGAAGACATGGCCTCGGGGATTATTTGTTTGCAACCAAATTGCCATTACTAATTCTCCATTTCATCCATTACTCCCGCCTGGCAAAGTCAGTCAGTCAGTGGACCATGAAGAACATGGAAGTGATGAGGGCAGGGAGGGGGATGATTCATAATATCCTGAAACTTTTTTATAGACTGCAGGATCTTCCCTGTCAGAAAATTGTGCAGAAGTGAGTCTTCATGGTAGCCATAAGAGAAGCCTTCCTTGTGCCCCACAATAGTTAGGGTTTGGATCCCTGACACCGACATAGCATCATGACCACTCCAGGTAGGCCAGGAAATCAGTGACTACTAACAGAAGGCCCAGTTAACTTAAAAGATTTGTGACCTTGGACTTGCCCAGGAGGAGCCAAAAACAGTTAGAGACAGGAGAGGAAAATAGCAATGGTATCTTCTCCCTTCTTTAAATACCTGGGGTTGAATGAAGTCTGGCTGCTCACAAAGGAGAAAAGGACACGCACTTCAGCGTGGATCTGACGTACACGTTGTTCATTGAACTATACAGGAGCTGAAAAATCACAAACAAAAATACCCTGGATGTGACCAAAAGGCCATCAACTCTTATTGAGCTGTTATTAGACGTGTGACAATTAGGTTGTATGTCCAGGAGGCTTGTTTGTGCTCTAAACCTGCATCCAAAATATGGTGCTATTTCTCCAATATCCAGGGCCCTTGAGCCCATGAAATGAGAGTGGAAACATTATAACACTTAATGATGCATTAGAAAGTTTTGCTTCCTGTCCCTGTCAACTTATGGTTTTCAGGTGTAGAGGTATTAGTGCCACAGAGAGGAATACTCCTACCTAAAGATACAGCACTGATTTCATTGAACCTGAAGTTAAGAATGCCTGCTGGCCCTTTTGTATTCCTCAGGCCTCTGGATCCAAAAAGAGTGTTACTGTATTCGATGATGTGGTTGATACTGATTACGAAGGGGATATTTACTTGGTATTGCATAATATAGGTCAACTTTATCGGTAAACAGCTAAACATAATACAGGTAAACAAGAATGTGTCTGGAACCCAGAGATTCCTTAGGTCATCTCTTAGCACGACCATGTCTTGCGATTAAAGTTAATAATGATGTATGTATATAGCAGCCCATTTCAGGCATGATTACTAATGGCCCAGACTCTTCAGGAATGAAGGTTTGGGGCATCTCACCAGGCAGAGAACTCTGACCAGCTGAGGTCCTTCCTGAGGGCCAATGGAATATGGAATGGATAGTGGAAGAAGGTAGTTCTAAATACCAGCTACAGCCACGTGATCAGTTGCAGAAGCAAATATTGTCATAGTTATGGACATTTCCTATTTATATGTAGATGTGTTAGTCTGGGTAGACTAGAGATACAAATCCATGGACACACATATATGTATACAAAAAAGATTTATATACAAGAGCAACT